ACACTTATATAGAGCTTACTATGTGTTAGCCACTGTATTAAGCACTTAACTGGTTACATCTACTGGGTAAACTAGAAAAGCTCTGAGACCTCTTCCAACTTGGAGATGCTGTGGTTCTTAGACTGACTTTGATCCTCCAGGTTCCCCCTGTAGTTTCTCTTTGACCAAAGCTGTTCTCAAAGTTGTTTTTTGCTCTTTCTAGTTTGTTTCCAGGGGGATGTGGGTGACACCTTACCGAGACTGGTATCCACAAAAGAACAACAACAAAAACCCCTGTCCTTTTACTATCTGGGATCTAGGAGCACTTGGGAAAATGATGGAAAAATCTAATCAATCTGGCCACATTGGTCAACATTCCTTTCCTTACTGAAATGGTGAATTGACTTATCTTTCTTCATATGTGTCTATGTCTCAATGTTTTTGAGTATTTGCATTCTTGTGACTGTGAAGAACCAATCATGCCTCCTCCCCACCCCACCTGGATGCCAGATCAGTCTTTTATACCCTGAAAGCCCCCACAGCACCCACACACGCACACCTCACACACACCATGTTTGATGCTTCAATTTAATAGCCCTGAACCATGTATACAATGGTTGTAATTCCTTTGAAGGCTGAATTCTAGCCAGTTTCTTCAGGTTGTCAGGACGAATATATTTTCACAATTTTCCGAGGATACTTCTTAAGTTCCTTAAATGCGTTCACATCAGTCTTGATTTTCTCTAGAAGGAAGGTGAGGGGAATAGGAATCAAAATTTGTTTAAGAAACAGATGGTCAGAGTTACTTAGGCCAAACCAAACCCACACTTTCTTACTCCCAGGTTGTTGCCATGAATCCAGGGAGAGGGGCAGGAGGTGGACAACTATACCAGAAGGGATGGAGGTTAGATACTCTGGAAGAACCTGTCCTCCTATTCTGAGGCTTAGGGTACAGAACGGACAAGCTTAGAATCATTCTAGAACTAAAAGGGACTTTAGTGATTTTCCAGTGCTTCAGGTGACAAAACACTGGAATGGCGAGATACTGAGATATTTTTTCATAACCCACCCCATCCTACTCTCCTTTAAAAATACTGAGATACAGTTTTCAAAGAAGAGATACAATCAACAATCACATAAAAATATTTGAAATCACTAATAATTGCAGAAATGCAAATTAAAGCAACTTTGATGTTCCATCTTACACTAATCACACTTGCAAAGATGGCAAATATTGGAGGGGCATGGGAAAGTAGGTACACTAATACACTCTTGGTGGAGCTGTGAATGGGTCCAGCCATTCTGGAAAGCAATTTTGGACAATGCTTAGAAAGTTACCCATGGGGCAGCTAGGTGGACACTTACTAGCTATGTGACCCTGGGCAAGTTACTTAACCCCATTGCCTAGCCAAAAAAAAAAGTTAACCAACTGTGCATAACCTGTGACCCAGTTATACCTCTTGTTAGGCCTATACTCCAAAGAAATCAAAGAAAGAGGAAATAAATCTACATGTACAAAAATACTTATAACAGCTTTTTTCAGGGTAGATAAAATTTTGTTTTGTTATTCCTCTTATTGAAGAATGGCTGAACAAACTATGGCTTATGAAGGTGATGGCATATTATTGTGCCATTAGAAGTAATGAAATGGACAATTTTAGGGGTAACTGGGAAGACTTTTATGAACTGGTACAGAGTGAAGTTAAGTAAAACTAGCAGGACTTTTTATACAATGATAGCAACAATGTAGAGAAAAACGATTTTGAAAGATTTTAGAACGCTGCTAAGTTCTATGATCGGCCACTAGTCCAAAAGAATGGTGATGAAGTATACCATTACCCTTGTAACAGAGATGTCAGACTTAAAGAAAGAGACATGCATTTTTGGACATGGTTAACATGGGAATTTGTTTTGATGGACCATGTAGCTATGAATTAAAGGATTTTTTAAAAATGTCTAATGGGAGTACTGGAAGGGACAGAATAATAAAATAATACTTATTATTGAAAAATGAAAATAATAAAATATTTAAAAGTAGGGCTACAAATATGTACATAATATATGCATATATGGTGTATATACATACATATGTGTGTATATCCTAATTTACATATGGACTTAGGGAGGTACTGATCCTATTAGGTGAGAGTTGGAAGCATTAGAGTGAAAACATGCAGAGGTTTATATTGAGAATCTTTGAATGTACTTACTTTCAAGTTTCTCAACTTTGCTCTTCACGTAGGTTGGCAAAGACTTAATTGATGGTAATCTGGTGATACTGGGTTCCACTTCTGATTGAAGAAATTGTGTTAGTAGAATTGCTTATCCATGGATAAAAACGTCCCTCCAACCCCATCAGAACCCTTTGAAAAACTGTCCCTGTGGCCCAGATGGAGATATAGCAGTGATAATAATCATTGCAGCTATCATTGTGTGCTTGTCAAAGAATTTGATGAACATCATAGTATTTGATCTGCACGAAAGTTTTTACAATTACTGTTTCTATTTTACAGGTGGGTAAACAAACTTTAGGATGTTAAGTGATGAGCTTGTGGTCACACAGCTTGTAGGTATAGAAGGGGAAATCTGAACCTGGATCTCTCCTGACTCCAAGTCCAACAGTCTTACCACTATTCCACACTGCTCTTCTACCTTATTTATTAAGCAGCTACTATGTGCAAGAGATCTGCTAGGTCCTGGGGGTACAAATATAGAGAATGAAATAATTAACTAAGAGCTTAAGGGGGAGGAGACAAGTTTATTTATTGAAAGAGGCAGAAAAAAAGGACTTTGTCTGAAATACAGAGAAAAACAGCTTTTTGAGAAGCATGAGGGGGGAAAAAATCTGTTCCTCAGATAAAAGGAGAGACACATAAAGTTTTGAAAGGAACAGAATGACAAAGTGCCCATCAGAGATACACAGTAGGTGCTTAATAAATGTTTATTGACTGATTGACCTACTGAATGATGGGAAAGGTGATTGTAATGCATTGTTCACCAGCAGCTAATATACATATGACTATTTTTAGGACTTGGCAGTTTAATGCTAGGAAACTCTAAATTAAACCAAAGAACTGGCTAGGGACCATGGGATTGTTGTTTATTTTTAGAGATAGTCTGGGGGCAGCTAGGTGGTTCAGTGGATACAGCACCAGCCCTGGATTCAGGAGGACCTGAGTTCAAATCCGGCCTTAGGCACATAACACTTCCTAGCTCTGTGACCCTGGGCACGTCACTTAACCCCATTGCCTTGCCGAGAGAGAGAGAGAGAGAGAGAGAGAGACTTAGTCTCCTTATCTGGTTCAGGGTGGAAGTGAAACAGCCATTCATGGGCTGGACCTCACCATTGATCAGCATGGAAGCTTTGACCTACTCTACTTGCTCTGATTTGACCCTCTTTAGTCAGTCTAGTGTTCCCTGTCTTTCAGAGTCTCATCATATTGGTGCTGGACTTAATGCAGACAGCTAACCAACTTCAGTCCTATTGCATCTCAGATATCCTAATCTCAAGTTCACCAGCTCAATGCACCAGCCTCACCCTGCTCAGGAGCAGTGTATACCATTATACCCAGTGGTACTATTGTTTATTAAGAATTCTTTTGGTCAAATATAATAGAAATGTGGATTTGGGGCTTTTCAACATCAGAGAGAGAGATGTCACTACATATGAAGAATCCCTGACTCCAGAATTTAGAAGCAAGATGAGAAGTCAGATCAATAAGACAGAGATAAGCCAATGAGAGAAGCTGTTTACAGAAACTGAGATATCAGACACCAGAATACATAAGTCTATGGAGCTGAGAAGCTGAGACCAGATACATAGAGACAGATAGGCTTTGTAGTTGCTGTGGGGAATGGATATGATTGGAGGAAAGCTTTAATATTTGGAGGTGATGGCAGAAAATAGCATCCTAAGCTGTTGAAGTGCTAGCTGCAGAAAGGCTGCCTTGCTCCCTCGTATTATATCCATGGCTTCTAGCAAAGGGGACACCCTTCATTGGCTCACCTACCTCACCCTTTACTTCCATCTTTTAGTTTGAGAGGAGTAAACCCTTCAAAACCCATAAAGATACCAGAATACTTTTGCAGATCCTAGGTTTAAAGGAAACTCTTTGAAAATGAAAGAGCATTATGTAGCTTCCAAGAAGGCAGATCTAGGATTCTCTGCAGATCACAGCCTTAAGGTTGCTTTTTGCTGAAAGAGCTTATACCATTTCAGTAGCCTAGGAGAAGCAAAGAATCAACTTCCTTGAGCAGGAGAGTAGAGAATCCCAAAAGAGGAGTGATACCATCCAGCAGAGGACATATGGTATACCTGTCCCATAAAGGAACTATGCGAGAGTGAGTTGTAGTAGTATGGTGGCCATGACTTCTTCTTCTGGAGAACAAGTCCAACCTTCCAAGTGGGTGCAGCCTGGGGCAAGTGAGCCAGCACCAGCCCAGGAACAGAGGACTGGATAGGGTTGGAGGTGGGCACCACATACATGCAACACACATAGAATCAATATAAAGAGAAAAAATACAAAATAGTTTGGAAGGCACAAGAGAGATAGCCTTAGGAACATAAATTTAGAACTAGAAGGGACCTTGGAGGCCATTGATCTGGGTTCCAGTCCTGACTTAGATATGTGTTAGTTGTGTGACCAAGGGCAGATCTCAGACCTTTTGATACCCATTTTTTCCCCTATTAACTAGGGACAATAGAACCTACATTACAGAAGTTGTTATGAGGTACAAATGAGATAATTCATGTAATGACTTTTGCTATTGTGAGCCAAGTGGTATCAGAAGCAGCCATTTGTAGCTCTAGGGACCACATATGAAAATGTGTTCTTCTATATGTCTATGTGGCCCATCCCCAGAGACACCTCCCCAAGACTAATTCAGGGACATGGGTCATTGACAGTCAGATACTCACTTTGAGGAGTGGCTATCTGATTCTCTTCTGACTCTTCAGCTGCTAAAGTTGTCTGTGCAGTGTCCAAACTTGTTTCTACAGGGGCTGTCACTTGCTCTGAGGATGTTTCTGCAGGGGCTTCTGGGTTGACTGCTAGTTCAAAAGAAGTACAGGTGGTACTTCCAGCTGAAAACATAGCTCTGAATCACTGACTTTGGGCAACTCAAATCTTCCCCAACTTTGGCAAGGGTTGGGAGAAGTCTGGGAAGTGGATTGGGGTTGAGGAGCAGACCAGTCTGGCTGCTCCCAGTGGCAGGGATATCTGTGCAGAATTTTGACTTTGGGGGATTCAGACCAATGGGGACCAAAACATGGCCCAGATTTATGGAGGGAAGATCTGGATTGTTTGCAGGACAGGCAGATAGAGTATGTCAGGAGATATCAGGAGGAAGGTCTGCCATCTGTCCTCTTGCTGTCCTGGTATTACTGGAACATGGAAAGGATCTATATTTTCATTAATCTGGCAAATTTCTAGTATGAGAACTCCCTATACAAATTCAGATCCAATCCTTAGTTCAGTTTATGATTTGTACACAAAGCCTAGAGAGGGGCTAGAGGCACGTAGAGATTAAGAGATTTTCTTAGAGTCCAGCCAATAAATTCCCTTGACTGGATTTGGAGTCTTTCCAACTCCAAGCCTAGCACTTTGTTCACTATGCCTGTTGATGTAGGCCAAAGGGTGTTCATTCACTGTGTGGCCTTGGGCAAGTCACTTAACCCCAATTGCCTAGCAAAAAAGCAAAAAAAAAAGTATTCATCAGCCCCTTCATTCGTTCACTTAGTATTTCAACAGACACTCATCGAGAACCTACTCTGTGGAAGGCAAGGTACACAGAATAGTAATGATACATCCTTGACTTCCAGGAGATTAGGATCTAATAAGGGAGATAAGACAAACATAAATAACTAAAATATAAGGCAGGATGAAATTAATTAAATATTGAGTACAACTCTTGATACTTCCATAGCATTTTAACCCAGGGCAACCTTGTAAAGGGGTGGTGCAAGCATTACTGTCCGCATTTCACAACTGGGAAAACTAAGGCTTCAGAGAAGTTATGGTTTGACCAGTGTTACAGGACTAGTGAGTGGCAGAAAAGGGCTTGAACATCCTGCCAACCCAGTCCTGGGCTTTTCCACCATCCTACATGGTTTCACAAGAGGGGCACAAAGAAAACATGGTGGGAGTACATACAAAGGAGGTTCACTGCTGGAGGAAGAGGCCAGGGAAAGTTTCAGAAAGGAGGTACCATTTTGGTAGGATTTTTACTGGATAAATAAATACTGTGTAGGATTTTTAGGTGGAGGTGGTGGGGGGTGGGGTGGGGTTGGTTCATTCCACCAAGCTTGGAAAATGGCAAATTTCCTAGTCCTGCTTAACTGTAGGTCACATCTAGGGGATCTAGTAGGAAAAAAAATAATCTGAAAATTACATTAGGGAGGAAATGAGAAGGTGATTTGCTGTCAGACTATTAAATTTGGACTTTATAGGGGCACACGGGTGGTGGACCACTGAGGATATTTCAGCAGGGAAGTAACATCATTGCAGGTGCCCTAACTTCTCTTCTTTGATCTTGTGCTCTTTCCAGTTTCTTACATTCAAACAAATTTGGTCTCTCTTCCTCTCCATCTAGCACCTCACCCTTACCCACATCTGACCTTCACATACTATGCTCTGCTGAGATTTCCACCCCATCTTGTCTTCCTTTCTTCTTTAGAAGCATACTTCTGTCTTACTGGAGCCTTTTACTAACTGATCCTTCTCAGCTTAGCTGTCCCCATTCCCACCTTCACCTAACTTCAATTCTGATGTCCAGAGCCCAATCTAGGATCTCTTGGTACTGTCCTCACTCCTGGGTCTGGATCCTGACCACGTGTTCTCTCTCAGTGTCAGACTGAGAGCCACAGGAGTACAGAGTCAGTCTCTTGCTCTCCTTGGATTTTTTTGTTGGCACCCACTCCCCAAGGAACTCAGGTCCAAAGGAAAGAAGGGACTCACCATTGTCTACAGGCTGTTCAGCCCCAGGGTCAGAGGGAGTCTCTTCTGCAAAGAAAGAAACAGAAGCAAAAATCACAAAGGAGGGAACTGGATCAGCCCCATTTTAGACTGAAGAGCAGACCAGAAGGAAAAAATATCAGAAACAAAGATGTGAATAAAGTAATCATAATCGCCCTGTCTGTCACATGTTTGTTTGCCAAGAAGTTTTGCCTAATATCTAACCTGCAGGCAGTCAGTTAATAAAAAAGGGATACAAAGAAAGGAAAAAGACAGTCCCTGCTCTCAAGGACCTTGAAGTCTAATGGGGGAGACAACATGTACTATGTAAAACAAGCTAGATGCAGGATAAATTGGAAATAATCAACAGAGGGAAGGTAAAAGAATTAAGGAGGCCTGGGAAAGGCTTCCTGTAAAAGGTAAGATTTTAGTTGAAAGGAAGACAGGAAAGCCAAGAGAAGGAGATGAGGAGGGAGAGAATTCCAGGCACGGGAGGGAGCCAGTGAAACTGCCTGGAGTCAGGAGATGGAGTTTCTGGAAGGAGGAACATGAAAAAGCCAGTGTTACTCAGTCACATAGTAGATGGTAGAGGTGCGAGGTACAAGAAGACTGGAAAGGTGGGAGGGAGGTAAGAGGTGTTATCTGTAACCTACTGATTTTACCCTGGGAAACTTTCTCACACAGCCAAGCTACTCCTGGGGTTGCACACCCCTATGAGGGGTGGCATTCTTCTGATTTGGGCTCATACCTTTCCAAAGGAGAGCCTTGTGGAAATGTATGGAAAAGCATATGCTCCCCTGGCAGGGCAGTGAGGTGGCGCAGTGGATAAAGCACTCGGCCTGGAGTTAGGAAGACTCCTCTTCCTGAGTTCAAATCTGGCCTCAGATACTTACTAGCTGTATGACCCTAGGCAAGTCACCTAACCTTCTTTGCCTCAGTTTCCTCATCTGTAAAATAAGCTAGAGAAGGAAATAGCAAACCACTCCAGTATCTTTGCCAAGAAACCCCAAATGGGATCACAAAGAGTCAGACATGATTAAAATGACTGAACAATAAAACTCTCCTTGCAAGATGCTGACTGTGGGGCTAAGTCACAGAACAGACTCCACATCAGGCCTCCTGCCTCCATACCAGGAGCCTCTGTACCACAGAGTCAAAGGGTCTAGATCATTAATCAATCAATAAACATTTATTAAGCACTTACTTTGTCCTGGACACAGAAGACACAAAACCAAAATGAAATAATTGTCCTTCAAAGAGTTTCTATTCTATGGCAGGAAACAATGTACATAACTTAATTTATACAGTATATCTGAAAAGTACATTCAAAGAAAGTTGGGATGGATGTTAAGAGTTGGAGAGGGTAGAATGAAGAAAGGCTGGAAGTAGAAAGTGGTGTTTGAATTGAGTCTTGAAGGAAACAAGGGATTCTAGGAAGCAGTGGTGAGGAGGCATTCCAGGCCAGGGGAACAGCCAAGGCAAAGGTGGGGAGACAGGAGATTGATTATTATTTTTGAGAAACAGCAAGAAGCAAGTTTGGCTAGACAATAGAACAACGCATAATAGAGTTGGAAAGGTAGGTTTAGGACATCTTGTGAAAAGCTTTAAATGGGGGCAACTAGGTGGTACAGTGGATAGAGCACTGGCCCTGGATTCAGGGGGAACTAAGTTCAAATCCAACCTCAGACACATAACACTTAATAGCTGTGTGACCCTGGGCAAGTCACTTAACCCCATTGCCTAGCCAAAAAAAAAAAAGCTTCAAATGCCAAACAGAAAAGTATATATATTTATCCTAGAAGTGATAGGGAATCATTAGGATTTATTGGGGCAGGGGTGAAGATAGGGGTGGGGGATGACATGGTCAGATCTTCACTTTAGGAAGATCATTGTGGTACTTGTATGGATTGGAGAGGAGAGAGGGTTAAAGTAGACTTAGGTCAGACCTCTCTGAGGATCTGGGGTGGATCAAGGGCTTGGGACTAGATAGAGTTAGTGACAGTAGGGAAAGCTTAATTTAATAACCAACTCTTCTATGCTACTTTACAGTGATAAAGAGCTTTATGTTAATTATGTTATTCAATACTTCTAACAACCCTGAAATTAGGCAGCACAGTGTTAGCCCCTATTGTAATGTGAAGAAAATTGATGCCTAAGAGATGTTTGATGACTAAATGATGTTTCAAAATTCACAGCTAATAAGTAGCTTAGCCAGGCCTTGATCCTGGGATTTATCCAATCTTCTTTCCCTTGGCCATATTAATTATTTGGCAGCCTGTGGGTCTCAGGGACTACTCAGTCTTAACAAGGTTAAGAGCTATATAGAAAACAACACGCACGCTGATTATAAAAAAAATGTAAATGGAAAAGACAATGGTACCAAATCATCACTTGATGACTTGTGTGTAGACTATAGCACGATTATTACAAAACCCAGATCCTATTTCAGCTTTAAGAGGTTGCTGTACTAGACCAGATGGCTTTAGGGTCCCTTCCATTTTTTTCCTTTTGTGACTCAAAAACTAGTCTTAGGAGCAGAAGCATGATGAGTGCTCATGTGGTCATTGACGAGGTTGCCACCTCATACAGGAGATGGAATTGGGGAAGGCTGAGTCTCAAGTTTCTTTGGGGGTCCCAGTTCTTTGCTGAGGGTCTGGGAAGAAGGTCATACTCACGGCCACAGACAAGGTCACCAGCCAAAGCTGCTAGGAAGAGAACAACAAAGAACTTCATCTTTGCAGAGGAGACGTGGAGAAGCTTCCTAAGCCTGAGAAAGAGGTGTTGATGAGCCACTCACATGCTTGGATCCTTTTAAAGACGCCAGCAGCCAATGGGAGTCAGGCTGGAGAGGTGGATCCTCTCCTCCCTCTGTTCCCTCACCTACCCCCTCCTTTCAAGTGTCACATGCTAAGTCAACAAGGGTAGGGTAGGGGCAGTGTCTGACTTTCTTGGCTACCGATGTTGTCCTCTTCCTTGTCTCTTTGGTGTCATTCTCTCTCTGTTTCAAAGCTCATCTACACCTGACACATGGAGGTTGATTTTGGTAACTAGGCCCAAGCCTATATGTTACAGATAAGGGAAGACTGTCTGCCCACTTGTCACTGTTATAATGGGAGGTCTGCTGGTATAAGAATCTTTCTAAAGGCCAGAAAGATGGCTTTGAGAGTTCAAATTGTTTAGCTTTTGCATCCTAATTGGACTCCCTTTATTTGTTCTGGACTGAGAGAAAGAGTTAGAAGTTCTCCTTGAGAAATCAAGATTAAGTTTAGGGGTCAAGGAATCAGACCTTGACTGCTTCCTCCCCAATCTCATTCAGACTTGAACAGGCCCAAATGTTCTCTTGATCTCTGACTTGTACCAAAGCACCAGGGAGCTTTGTTATTCCTTGGTCATTGTGCAAGCTATGGGTGGGTGGATTGGGGGTTTCTAGCTCCCAAATCTCATGAAATTTTCCAGTCAGACATTTTAGGTCCAGGCATTTCAGTAAAGGCCACCTCAGACAGAAGCCTGGGGAATTATTCATTTGCAACCAATTATCTATTATCAGTTAATAATTACATTTTTAAGGCAATTTGTTTATTATCGACTGATTTCTTTTCAACCATCCTGATAGTGCTGGGGCTGTGGGGAAGATGTAGAAAGGGCCCAAGTAGCCTTCATAAAATCCTTTTGACCACATCTTTGTTCTTCATGGGGGAAAGTGAAGAAGCATGACTTTAGTGGGAAAGGACATTAATTGTTGGGAGTCAGGAGACCTTCTTCTATCTCTGATATTGCCTCTAAATGGATATGTGAGTTTAGTAAATCTCTTCCTCTTCTTGATCTCAATCTCTTCATCTTGAAAAACCAAAGGCTTGGACTGGATTTTCTCTTAACCCTATCTAGTTCTGACATTTATGATTTTATGATTACTTCCTGCAAAGATTTTGCTCAGACCAATGTTAAGTCCCCCCAAGGCTTCATTGCCTTAGGGTAGAGACCTCAGAGGCCTGCTGATAGCCAGGGATCTCACTGACCATTCTCTATAAAGTAGTATCACTGGGTCAAAGGGCATGCACAATTTTGTGCATAGCTTCAAACTGCTTTGCAGACTAGCTAGAGCAATTTGCAGTTTCAACAATAGTCCATTAATGTACACATCTTCCCACAGCCCTTACAACACTTGTTATTGTCCATTTCCCTCCCATCTTTGTCAATCTGATGGGTGTGATGTGGTACATAATATTTGCTTTAATTTGCATTTCTTTAACTGTTAGTGGTGGAATTTTATCAACCTGGAAATGACTCTTAGTCTTATAAATTTGAATCAAATTCTTATATATCTTGTAAATGAAACCTTTATCACAGAATCATGCTGAAAAGATTATTTTCTCATTTAATTGTTTCCCTCCTAGTTTTAGCTGCATTAGTTTTGCTTGTTCAAAAACTTTTAAATTTTGTGTAATAAAATGTTTTCAATTTATCTTCTGTGATCTATTTTATCCCTTCTTTTGTCATGAACTCTTCCCCTATCCATTGATCCAGAAGGAAACTTCTTCCTTGTTCCTCTAATTTGTTTGTGTTGTGATATTTTATGTCTAAGTTTGCACATCATTTCCAGGATATAGTTACCAATTCCCTTTAGAAGTTGACAGGTTCATGAAGCTCAAAGCAGACTAGGTTTACTTCTAGGTCAAGTTAACAGATAGAATTCACATAAGAGACCCTCAAGAATCACATTACCCAAGGGCAACCAAGAGGTCTGCATTGGGAAGAACTTTGGCTCTGGAATCAGAGTTACTAGCTTCAAATTCTGGCTTTAGCTCATATCACCTATGTGACCCTGACTTTCATCATTTATAAAATAAGGTTAGACTTTTTGTTGTTGTTGTTTGGCCATTTCCGACTCTTCATGACTCCATTTGGGGTTTTCTTGGAAAAGATACTGAAGTGGTTTGCCATTTCCTTCTCTAGCTTATTTTACAGATGAGGAAACTGAGGCAAACAGGGTTAGGTGACTTGCCCAGGGTCACAGAGCTAGTAAGTGTCTGAGGCCAAATTTGAACTCA